ACTTGGTAGCCCAGGCTGGCCTCGAACTCACAGAGATCCGCCTGGCTCTGCCTCCCGAGTGCTGGGATTAAAGGCGTGCGCCACCACCGCCCGGCTTTACTTTGGCTTTTATTCGGTCCAGCACAATTCCCTTCGCATGAGGCTCCTCCAAACGGATCGGCTGCTCAGGGCTGTGCCCAAGTGGGCTTTCTTGAATTGTTTATCATGCTACTTCTGGTCCAGCCAGTGACTGCGGAGCTTCCTGGCACTACGGAGACCAGGACCCTTGCCCGTTTTGCCGGAGCCACGGGCTGGAGAGAACCACTCACTCGGCCATCACTGTGCATTTGTGGAGTCAGAGGACAATGTCCTGGAATAGGTTCTCTGCTTTGACCTGGGCATGGATTGAACTCATCAGGAAGGGCAAGCACATTCCCCACTGGCCTATACTTTTCAATTCCCAGAGAGTCATTCACTCATAATCTGAATGTTTTCTCAAACACTTTTTTTTTTTGTGGTAACATGTGCTAAGACAAAATTTGTTACCAAGAAAAATAATGAGTAATTACTCAGTCACCTACCAGTCTAGTACATGACTTGTACGCTTATGTTCCTCCATCTTTTCGGCTTCCTTTACTATCACGTGCTTTCTTGAATGACAGGACATTAACAAAGGCTCGTGTAGGATCTAGACTGTACCTTCCTTGTGCTGTTGCTAAAAAGCTAACTGAAGCATTTGGCCATTTTTCCCTGAGTGTGCAAGAGACCATATATCCCCCCCCCCTTCTTTCTCTAAAAAAGGCAGAATAATCTGAATATTCTGACAGTGAATAAGAGAACAAATTTATATTGGTAGAATTGCTCCTTTCAAAGCCTACGTGGGTATTAAATTTCTGTTTCCTGCTAGGCCTGATGACTTCCTTCTACAATCCTGGCACTCAGGAGGCTGAGGCAGGAGGCTTGCCATGGTTGGGCTGGTTGGGCTACACACAGTACATCCCAGGACAGCCTGATGAAGAGTAAACCTTGTCTCAAAAACAAACAAGCAAACAAGCCAGGCATGGGGTCTGAAGGTGGCTCATTGGTAAGGCACTTGCAAACAGTCCTGAATTCAGTGTCTGGAACGCAGTCCCAAAAGCTGGACTCTGACCTCCGCCTGTGCTGTGTGGCACCTGTGCCCACAGGTTCAGTGAAACCAACAGTGATAAACAAGCACCCCAACTTTGTTCCCACATTTTTACATATGCTTAGATATTAATGAGGATCCTGGAACCCAGGGGAAGTAAATCAAGCAGCCCCTTTCCAGACTCACACATCCAGCAGTCTGACACCACCCAGGAATCAACGTGAGAACGCAGCTGCCCCTACAAACGACCAATTAACGAGGAGCCAGAGACGGGCCTAGGATGTAACTCAGTGCCTGGCTTGCCCAGCACGTGGAAGGCCCAAGTTTGGTCTCTAGAGCTTGAAGTGGGGGCGGTACAAAAATGAAAAAACCAGGATGACTATGTGCCAGCCACTTGCTTGGTGACTTTCTAGAAAGCATGGCTGCTCATTATTAGATGAGAATAGACACACATTTTGACCTTCTATGCTGTCTACAAAAATAAAACTCTGTGGGGCTTGAGAGATGGCTTAGTGGTTAAGAGCACCGGCTGCTCTTCCAGAGGAGCAAGGTTCAATTCCCAGCACCCACATGGTGGCTCACACTGTCTGTAACTCAAATTCCAAGGGATTTGATGTCCTCTCTGGTCTCCACAGGCACTATGCACAGACATGGTGTGTAAGCATGAACATCCACACACAAGATAATAAAGCACTTCACAGTTGTTAGGTACAAAGACTATAAATTTTGACACTAAGGGACCAGGCACACACAGCAGGATGCACTGGCTTCTTTCCCATCCAGCACTCTGCAATTGTAATCAAGCAATTAAGGGGAAAAAAAAAAAAAGACAATATATCAGTAGTTACTTTTCTATTGATGTGATTAAACACCATACCAAAGCAGCTTATGTAGGAGTGTATTTGGACTTATGGTTCCAGAGGGACCCTTTGTGGCTGGGAATTTCGGCAGCAGGCAGGGGCACTGGGAGCTGAGAGCTCACATCTCAAGCAGTCATGAAGAGAGGACAGAGTAAGGTGAAGTCTTAAGCTCTCTCACACACACACACCCGCCAGTGATATATTTCTTCCATCAAGGCCACATTGCTTTTTTTGTTTTTTTGAGACAGGGTTTCTCTATGTAGCCCTGATCATCCTGGAACTTGCTCTGTATACCAGGCTGGCCTTTTGAACTCAGATTCACCTGCCTGTTTCCTAAACGCTGGGATTAAAGTCATCCTCCACCCCACCCCCCACCTGGTTAAAACCACCTTTCTTAAGCTTCCCCATACAGCGCCACCTTGTGGGGACCTAGTGTTCAAATACAGAGCCTATGGGGGACATCTGCATTCAACTACCATAGACAGGTTCTCACTGTGTAGCCCAGGTTGGCCCTGAACTTGTGATCCTCTTGCTTCAGCATGCTGAGCGCTACTATTATAGACTTGCACCACCAAGACCACTAAACTAAGGATTTATTGGAGTCAGGCGCAGTGGAACCTGCCTGCAATCTCACCTCCTAACGAGAGTACGTGCAAGAGTATTGCTGCTGCCAGCTGGAGGGGTCTTCCTCCCAGACGGTGAACACTGTCTGCACGGCTTCTAGGAGCTGTGTGTATTAACATAAAGTTCTGATTTCAACTGGAAAGAACTCAGAATTCAGAAAACATGAAAAAATGTATCATTTTATTTGTACACTTAGAAAAGTTGTACACAGAAACTTATCATTTGTAAAACTGGGGGACTGTTGAGGAGAGAGGGGGACATTTATTTTTATTTTTTAAATCATTAAGAATGTTTGAGAAATAAAACAAAACATAGTAAAATGTTAAAAAAATTAAAGAACATTTTCCAAGTATAAATTTTATAAATACAAAACAAATTCACAAATGACTCTGAATGCTAAAATAAATATCTAGTTCATAAATTCCGTCGGCACTGGCTACAGCAGTCAGGGATAGAAAACTGGGTTCACTCATGTGTAGTGTTGCAACAATGTGCTCATTCAACAAGTCTCAAGACACACACGTTCTCTACACTGCTCTAGGAGCCTCGTCTGTGTGGATAAATCCTAAAAGGTCAATGGCAAAATAAATCATAGATCAAAAAATATCTTCCAGGATACCTGAACACATGAATGATCTCAAAATGTACAAAACCTCTGTAAACCAGTACTTTATCCAATACATCTATTAAACTTAGTAGATATGAACAAAAACTGTAGCAAAGGAAATCTTTCCTACATTCTCCTGAGTGCTTAATATTAAAGTTGAGAATATAGTGCAGGCCACACTCGGGTGTGGTTGACCAGCTGTTATTGCTTTATACACATATCTGCTTTAGAGCATGATTTAATGTTCCATTTTTATGAACGATTCATGTTTTTCTTCTCATACAGCCTGGAGAAGGATACAACTAGACCCGGGACTTTTTCGCAGCTAACATGCTAACATGGTCCACATTACTGGAGGAGACATGGAGTCCAAGCTTTTGAGCTTGACTATGAAAAAACGCTTGAAGCCGAGTCCCAGCTTTCGCTTCACTTGTGTTCCGAGGGTTGTACTCAAAGCAGTTTGAAAACATCAACTCAATGTCATCGATGAACTCAGCTAGAAGAGAAAAACAAACAAGATTAGGAATAAAAGTTCACACATCAGAAGCACACTCTGTACACTAGAAAACTAAGTAAAAAACAAAAAACAGAAGCCAGAAAAGAGACCCTGACAAGGCAGCAGAATTTAGGCTCAAAACTGTTCAGTTACATAAACACTGTAAAGCTGTTTAGGGGAAACTCTGGCTTACGTACATTATGTATTTACAAAGATCTTGGCTGGAAAGCTAGGGCACTTAACTGACTTGTCATGAGACCGGCCCTATGTTCAATCTCCAGCATCAAAAAACCCAAGGGCAGTTCTTCCAAGACTGTAAATGTCTCTGCCTATTTAACCCAGCCACCTTCCATCTCAGCGGGACTGATAAGCATGCGAGGGACCGCACGGGCTGCCATCCACCCAACTACACTAACGTTCAACATTTAAAACAAAATAAAAATAGCATCATCTCTTCAACAAGAACAATAAAAGGAAAACATGTTACTCACATGCTAACTTATATTCACATTTATTTACTTTTTCTCGAATTATATTTAAGGCAATGGGCTTCTTAATGATGTCATAGTAGTCTGGGACCTGTAAAAAGATTATTGGACATAATGGTTAAATGAATTTTATAGCTGAAAGGCAACTTAATCTCAATTTATGAATACTATTATTCCATTAAAATGTCATATTTTGAGTAATTATAATGATGTAGAAACTTGTTTGATATCATAAATGTAATTTATTAGGAAAGTAAAAAAAGTTTTGCTCATGGTTTTCTCTATAAGCTGGTAATATATGACCATATTTTTTTTTCCTTTGGTTTTGGAGACAGGGTTTCTCTGTGTAACAGCCCTGGCTGTCCTGGAACTCACTCTGTAGCACAGGCTGGCCTCGAACTCACCGAGATCCGCCTGCCTCTGCCTCCCAGAGTGCTGGGATTAACGGCGTGTGCCGCCACTGCCCAGCTCATCTCTGCTCCTCTTGGAGCTGGAGACACAGGCATGAGTGGAGGCCCAACTTCAGACTGTCACTGACTCTGAACCTCGAACCTCAGGTTTGCACAGATGCTCTTAACCACTGAACACCCTCTCCAGCCCTTGTCAGTCATTCATTCAGAAATCTTTACGACATACACAGGGCAAGTGAAGTCTTGTTATATAACTGTGCTGAAGCCTCTACTTCTATCCATTTCCATCATCATCACCATCAACTATCATCATCACAGTCATTATCATCACAGTCATCACCATCATCATCATCATCATCATCATCATCATCTCTAGGCATTTAACTACAGTCCCTTCACCCTGAAACTTAGCACTCCCTCAAGCCCTTAATTTCCCTTTCTGAGGGTGGCCTCTAACTCACAACTCTTAGTATCCCAAGCATGCACCACTCTGGCTCTTATTATTTAAGTTTCATTGTGTATGTTCTTGTACTGAGCATGTCTCATTTCTTAGCACTGAAATCAAGGCACTTTCAGTCCCATGTAACATTTCTAATACTGGCTACTCTCTTCCCTGAAAATTCTCAACCAACATCAAGGGAGCAGTAGGTAAACTAGTTCTAGTTTCTAGTTCTAGTTCTAAAATGTTATGATAACTTTAAAAAATATTTATTACGTTACTTTGTGTGCCCGAGTATGCTCATGCGTGAGAGGTCACTGATTTCCTGGAGCTGGAGTTGCAGGCCATTGTTAGCCACCAGATGTGAGCTGGAGCTGTTCTCACCCTCAAGAGCAGCAAGGCCCTTACTTAAGTGCCCAGCCAGCTCTCAGCCCTGACATTGGAGAAACGGCTTATTGATTTATTTGGATTTGGTTAAGACAGGGTTTCTCTGTGTAGCTCCACCTGCCTCTGCCTCCTCAGTGCTGGGATTAAAGAAAGGTCTGTGCTCCCAATAGCTGGCTATTATTTTTATATTATGTGTTGTGTATGAGTGTTTCCTTGCGCACGCACGTGCGTGTGTGCGTGCGTGTGTACCATGTGCATGCCTGGGAGTTGGGTCCTTGGAACTGCAGTTACAGATGGTTCTAACCTGCCATGTGGGTGTTGGGAACCGAACCTGGGTCCTCTGGAAGTGCTCTAACTGCTGAGCTATCCCTCCAGCTCTGTCTGCTATTGTAATTCACATTACCCTACCACTGTTATTATAGAGCAAGTCACATTCTGTCCAGATAGAGACACAGCACCATCTCATCCCTAGTTAGACGGGCATCTCCTTTCACATCAATGTGGTCTTCAGGAGCACAGCTTCACCTTGGGGACTTTGTCAGGATGCAAACCAACGGCTAGAAATCAACCCAGACCATTTAATAAAAAGAAAAACAAACCTGAGGTGGGACCCAAGTGTGTTTGCTTGTTTTGTGAGACAGGGTCTCCCTATAGAGTGCTGGCTGTGCTGGAACTCACTATGTCGATCAGACTGACCTCAAACTTCGAGATCTGCCTGCCTCTGCCTCCCCAGTTGTTGGGAGAACTCCTGCAGAGCCATACCTGGTTGACTCCAGTGTTCGCCTTAACCTGCCTTTCGTCTCCCAGTACCCTCCATGAGAATCTTGTCTGAGAACAGGCACAAAGCCTTTGCAAATTTGAAGAAGAACCCGGACTCTCCAGCTGAGAATTTGCATTTGGCATTGTCTTGTGAGAAGTTTAGATGAGAGGTGTTGGTGTTGCTAAAAGGTGTAAAATCGGGGAATAAAAGGCCCTTCACTAAGCTACAGTGGACCAGTCTGTAGAGACGAAGTCCCCCACTACAGCTGGAAAAGGCTAGAATCCTCTGAGGCGCCGTGAACACCCACACCGACATACAACACCAGTGTTGGGATCCAAGGCACGCACATAAGGCTCTCAGGTATGTTTTAATATGCCCTCTACAACAATTCTGAGGCATGCTGTAGTTTGATAACTAATTTAACATATAAGATATTTATTCATGGTATTTAGTTGGATTCATTCAATGAATACTTATATAAAATGAAAAATTATTTTAAGAAAATGTCATCCTTATAAAGAATCAGCTATGGGACTGGAGAGATGGCTCAGTGGTTTAGAGTATTTACTGTTCTCACAGAGGATCTGGACTCAAGTTCTCAGCGCACGCACACACACACACACACACACACACACACACACACACACACACACACACACACGGCGATCTGATGCTCTGATGCCCTCTTCTGGCCTTTGCAGGCACTGCACACACATGGTACATACACACACAAATACTTATACACATAAACATTAAAATAAATCCTAAGCGTCTAAGACCAGCCTGGCCACTAGACCTTGCTTAAGAACACAAAAGTGGCCTGCACTAAACAGGCAGTGCTGTGCAGCCTCAGTTTTGCTCAGAACAGAGAGCAACCTCCCAACCATGGGCTTCTGGAAAGGATTCAGCAGAACAGGTGTTTTGATAATTTCAGTTTCCACAAAGATTACAACATATGATATAAATGTAAATCAGGTAATATGTGAGCATATTTTATAAAGCTTAGTAGAGTATTACCTGGATTTTAGAAACAAGTTTCAAAAAGGGCCAGCTATCATCATGGCGTACCAATTCCACAACAAGTTGTTCAAAGGCAGACAGTTCATGGACACCTCCTTGTCGGCCGGAACTTCTTCGATTCAGTGGTACTGGAGACGACTCTGGATAGACAGACAGACATTTTAGGCAGTATCAAAGCAAAATAGCAATTTTTCAAGAGCAAAAGCACTTTAGACTGAGATTTTTGCTTTTCACATCTCTGTGGTGTGCATGTATGTGCGCATGCCTGCATGTATGTGTACAGGTGCACAGGTGAGTTGCCTATGGTAATCCTATCCTATGGCTCTTCCATTTTATTCCCTTGAGCTCACTGACATACATGGCTATTCACTCTCGGAGTCAGCTCACCCTAGCCCCCTGTGTTGTCCCTCTGGGGCTCAGTTACAGGTGAGCCCGCCACCCCACTGGTGAGTTCTGAACTCCTGACGCTAAGGCTTAGGTTTCAAGCATTGCAGGCCGAGCTACCTCCTCGGCCCAACTAACTAATTCTGAAAGACATGGAAATCCGGGCCAAATGCTCATAATTTCCTTTTGATCTTCAAGGTTTTCAGGTTTTCATTCAATTTTACTAAAAATATCTTCAAATTGTAAAAAAACATCAAACCAAGCATTCTCTAACAGCTCCTGAAACGTATCCTGAAGACAGCATATTGTGATAGGGTAGTGGTGGTGTACTCATGACTCATGCGATCTCAGCACTCAGGAGATACGTTCAAGTGAATCTCTGGGCGCTCCAGGCCAGACAGGGCTACTGTCTCAAAAACAAACATCAACAATAAAACACTGAACCAACCAGTCCACTGGAAATCTAGGGTCCAATGTGGTTCACAGATGGACTCAGGTGTTTAAATCCCTTGTAGTGTCAATTTACACACTCCTCGTCATCGCAGGTTTGCTTGTGACAGGAACCAGAAAAAAAAAGTTTTACAGAATTTTTATTTACTTTTGTTACATCTATCATATTCACTTATTATGTGTGTGTTCGCATGTGTGCGCGTGCGTGTGCACGTGCGTGTGCCCCTCCCCTGCCGTGCAGTGGGCGTGTGGAGGCCAGAGAACAATGTTGGCTGTTCGCTCACACGTGGTTCTCGGGATTGAATTAGGTTGCCAGCTAGTCAACAAGCACCTTTCTCACTGAGCCCTCCCACCAGCCCCTCTTCTGAAAATTTGTAGAATAAAAACATCAGTAGTCACTTCGGCAGCATAAATACTGCACAAGGATGACAACATTTTGTGGAGCATTCTATATAGAGGTTTTTAGTTTGTTCACTTTGGAGACAGTGTCACTATGTATCTCTGGCTGGCTTGAACTCCACCTGTAGAAGAGGCTGCTGGCCCTAAAGGAGAGAGAGATCCATCTGCCTCTGTCTCATGTGTGCTGGGATAAAATGTGTACATTACCATACCAGGCTCTTTCCTATTAAAAGAAGTGAGTTCCCCAAATATTTTCTAGTTCAAAGTGACAAAAGGATAAAAGTTATACTGTATCTCTTTGGTGCAAAGTCATTTCCAACTTCTCTCCCCAAAACATAATCTGATGGCTCTGAAAACATATTCTACACACCGGCCCCATACACCAGCCTCCCACCAATGAACTCCCTGATTCAGGCATGTGTATTCAATTCCACAATGCAACTACGTAACTACTTTAAAAACAACCACCCCAGACCTTCTGGTGGGAGACATTCAAGGGTAAAAACACTAGCCATTCTTCCAGGAGACCAATCAGCCACACTGAGTCCAGGAGATCTGATGCTTTCTCTTCTGGCTTCCTCTGTCACCATGCATACATGGGGTACACAGACATACATGTAGCCAAAACACCCCTCACACATAAACTAAAATTATAAAAACTTTAAAAATTTTGTTACTACAAAGAGGAAATGGGATAAAATCATAAGGAATTAGTAATCTGGATGTGGTGGACACGCCTCATGCAATCCAAGGCCAACCTGGGCTATAAACTGTTTTAGGTCTTGGACTACACTGAAGATAAAGAGGGACAGCATGGTGGCGCACATCTCTAATCCCAGCACTCGGGAGGCAGAGGCAGGCGGATCTCTGTGAGTTCGAGGACAGCCTGGTCTACAAAGTGAGTACTAGATAGCCAGAGCTAAATAAAGAAACCCTGTCTCAAGAAACCAAAACCAACCAAACAATACTTCACCACTCCCCTCAAGGAATCAAAAAAACCAAAACCAACCAACCAAAAAAACTTCACCACTCCCCTCGAGGAATCCTAGGACACCCGTATCAGGTGGCTCACAACCGCCTGTAATTTCAGTCCCAGGGGATCCAAGGCTCTGCCCTCAGCAGGCACTATGTATGTTTTGTTTTTATGAACTCCTAAGGGCTAATGGGACAGCTCTCTGGTCAAGCGTGTGCCCTGCAAACCTGAGGGTCTCAGTCTGACCGCAGGCACTCACGTAAAATGCCCCAGGCCAGCAGAGACCACTGGCGTGCTTTGACTCTACCCAGCAGTGGCGGCCTGATCACTGGAGAATGATCAGGATGCTGTGTGTGTCATAGGAACAGCTTTGAAAAGGTGACCAGACTCAGCTGTCTTGGGTAAGGAAGTGTATGGCTGGACGTCATACCTGTAGACTGTCTCTTCCTGCCCCTTCTCTTGGAGTCACTGTCCTGCAGAGAATGGCCTGTGGCCGCAGGTAAAGGTGTCAACTGTCCGCCTGACCTGGCCGTGCTGACTCTGAAGTTGGAGAAGCTGGGGCTGTGTTCCGGGGTGATGTCAGCACTCTTGCGCACCCTGCGTTTTCCACGAGGACTCAGCAGTTCCACAAACACGTCTGCTTGCAGCGCACCAGGACTGTGGCGGGTGGACCGACTAGCAATCCTTAAAGAGCGCGCTTCTGTAGGAGGAGCAGATCTGATCTTCCTCAGGCTCCTGCCGGTGGCAGTCTTAGACGCAGTGGTTTTGGGTGTGCTCTGCTGACTCCTTGAAGGGTACCTTCCAGGGTCCTGTCGCTGGCTGCGGCTTGAGAAAGAAGAGCTAAGTCTCCCTCTCGTTTTAATCGGCAATCTAACTTGTGGTCTTCCTCGTTTCGGTGGGCTATAAATATTGTTAGAACACACAGTTATTGTACAGAACAACGGTAACAGATAGTACTTGTACTAAATTACTCTCGAATGACTGAACCTTATCCTACAGTCAGTTCTTACGTTTAGAGACAAACTCTCATGGAAATCTAAACCGTACTTTGCCGTGTTTCCCTGAAACAATGGAGGACATTTATTTTCTAGGTAACTAGGGCAGCATCATGAAAATCAATTCTGAATTGTGATAAACTGACAAGACCCTCAGGCATGGCCCAGGCCACACCTTGACCGCAGGAGAGAGGACTAAACTTGCAGTGTTCCCCCCCATGCCGTCACCATCCACACAGGCAACGGGCGCCTCTGCCAATGGCTGTGCCGAGGAGCCTCCACCTGTGGTTCATGGAGACCAAGTCAGAACCTCTTTATTACCTTCTGGTTCGGACTGGAAACACAAAGCTAGATTTTACTCCTCTCTCTACAGACTTCTATTTAACCCGGGACATTTACAAGAATTTTCCAGAATTACTGACCAATGGATTTGTGTGTGTGTGTATATATGTAGTGCATGTGTGTATATGTAGTGCGTGTGTATATATGTAGTGCGTGTGTGTATATATGTAGTGCATGTGTGTATATGTAGTGCGTGTGTGTATATGTAGTGCATGTATATATATGTAGTGCGTGTGTGTATATGTAGTGCGTATGTGCATATGTAGTTCAGGTGTGCTAGACTTACACAGACATGGAGGCCAGGTCAACACTGGGTCTTCTGGTCCTCTTTACGTTTTGAGTCAGGGTCTCTCACTAAAGCTGGAGCCGGCTAATTAGACGAGGCTGGCTAGCCAGCAAGCCTCTGGGATCTTCCTTTCTCCACACCCCAATCCCAGGGCTGAGGTTACAGGTGTGTGCTGCCACAGCCTGCTTTATGTGGGTGTTGGGGATCCAAACTTGGGTCCTCACACTTGCAGAGCCCCCAGTTTACTGATGAAGCCACCCACCTTGCCAGGCTCCCCAGATTCCTTATTGTTACACTTAATACGATATTGCCTTCAAAGGCCTTACATGGTAGATGGCGTCTGCTAGCTGGCACTCTCAAAAACCAAAACCAATACATAATGGGGAGGAGAAGTGGCAGAGGCAGGGGAGGGGCTTCAGGGAAGGGAACACATACGCATGCATGGAGTTCTCAAAGAACAAAGGAGAAAAGATCTCAATCCCAACAAAAAAGGGGGTGGCTGCTCTATTACTAGCCCCGACAGTGGTCTGCTTGTACCGGACAGTTCTTGGGCACCCTGCCACACTCGGTCTCTTGATCCCATGAGGTTGGCAGATATTTAAAATGGAGGGGGAGCTGAGAAAGAGAACAAAGAATCCAATGACTTCCTCTCTTTGTGACTCTGTCTAGGCCTACCGACAGAGAACCAGTGGATATAAGTGTCCAGTTTTAATATCTGCCTACTAGATCAATCTATGTAGCAGGAATGACAGCCTTCATTTCAGTCCTGAAAGAAAAGGTCTAACTGGGTTGGATGGTACACTTCGGTAATCTGAGCACTTAGGAGGCGAAGGCAGGATTACTTCAAGTTTGAGGCTAGCATGAGCTACAGTGTAAGACTGTTTAAGGGGAGACTAACCCAGTGTTACCACAGCAGGAAATGTCAGGTTTTCAAACCCATGTAGTGCCTTGAGTGGCAGCTTGCAAAGTCTCCGAGGAGTTGCTAATGGTAACGGGACAAGAGCACACAGACACAACAATGTGGACTGCTTAGATTACCACCTGGGAAATGTTCCGAAACAGTTATAATGCAGGAAAAGCGTGGGAAGTTTCAGACAGGTTAGCTCTAGAACAGTTATGGCCCCAACTATTCTGTGTGGGTCTGAGAGTTACAGGCTAGACGACCATCACCCTGCAAACTGGACTCACCTGAGTTCCTCCTCTTCTTCAGAGTACTCTTCGTCTTGTTCTACCTCATATTCTTCCTCCTCACTTTGGCCCTCCTCTTCATCATCGTCATCATCATCATCGATGTCGTCCTCCTCTTCCATACTCTCTTCCATCTCTTCATCACTTTCCAAGGACGGTCTCTGCCTAGAGGAAAGTCTCCTGGAACGCTGCTTTGGCCGACATTCTGGACAAAACCAATCTCCTTCAGGAACGGTCTGAACAAACCACAGAAACAGCCATTATTACCCGGTCAAGATCTCCACTCCAAGGTGGTAACAGAAGAAGATCAACTACCTTAAGCTTTGGTCGGACGCAGTAGGTGTGGTGCCCTCGATCACAGCCATCACAGAGCACCATGTTTTCAGCGTCTCCCTTTTTCCGGCAGATCTTGCAACGTGCGTTCAGTATAGATTTCGACCACATCACACTTCGATCCAAGGTTGACAGATGAAGGAAGACTTGGGACAGGCTAGCAGAGGAAAGGAGAGACTCTCTCCAACGGTCCAGGACAGTCTTATAAGAGCGCCCGATGTCACTGCCATCTTAAATGACAGGGAAAGTGATTAAGTTCCTGGGCGACCATCAATGTCTCCTAGAACTACGTTGCTTGGCAGTTTAAACAGTTTTAATTTCATGTTCTTTCTTATGTTTGTCAAAAAGACTATGCTTAATATTGAAAATTAGATAGAATTCCATGTAATCCCAGCACTTGGGAGACCAAGGCCAGAGAACTGCTGTGATTCTTAAGCCAGCCTGGACTATGCAATGACTTCCGGGTCAGTGTGGATCACAAGAGAACGAGGCTGTTCACCCCCAAACTGCCCACACCTAATGTTACATTAAAGATCATAAGGGGTAACTTAAATCCACAAACTGAAGGCTTGAGGACTTTAATAGTTAAAAGAGAAAAGAATTTAGGCAATCTGTTCCCAATCTAGTCTTTGTATCGAATTTTGATCTAATTTAAAACTGGTTAAATAAAATAAGTTACTCTTTCTTTGGATCAAGTATGTTAGTTTCTCATTGCCAGAAGAATGATTGACTGTTTTCTAATTTCAATATCAAGCACATGAGGTTTCTTTGGAGCTGATGGTACATGTTCTGAAATTAGGTCAAGGGTGCTGGCTCAGTGTGTCCCTGAGAATTAATGTAACTAAACACCACTGCGTAGTATACCTTGGAAAGTTTACCACAGTAAGAGGCAAGAGGTTCACTTATAGGCCAGCCTGGGCAACATACTTTGCCCTACCTCAAAACAAAACAAAACAAAACAAAACAAAACATGCTCCCAGTGTAAACCAACCAGGCTACCAACCAAAGAAACAAAACAATGAAAATCCAGGCCAGTAGCCAGGCAGTGGTGGCACACACCTTTATTTTAATCCCAGCACTCGGGAGGCAGAGCCAGGTGGATCTCTGTGAGTTCAAGGCCAGCCTGGGCTACAGAGCGAGATCCAGGACAGGCACACAGAGAAACCCTGTCTGGAAAGACAAAACAAAAAAGAAAACCCAGGCCAGCAAGATAGCACAATGGTAAATGTGCTTGCCACGCCAGCCTGATGAGCTAAGCAGGAAGGAAGAACAATGCAGTGTCCTCTGACTTTCCTACCATGCTGTGGTGCACATGTGTGAGTGCACCCTCCCCCACAGTAACACTAATTAAAACAAACAAAACCGAACATCAAGAAAAACCAAATCCCCAAGTGTCTGAGTGAGGAGCTCAAAGTAGAATGCCTGCTTTGCATTGCAGTCCTGGGTTTTCCACTCCAACAATACACATCCATGCACCACCCAACCAAAAACCTGCACGGCTTTATTGTGGAAATAAAGTATTGTAAAAACTAGCAGAATGAAACTAATAAAGAACTCAAATATCAGAACTACATAAAAGATGAAAAACTACTTAATACATTTTAGGTAAGAGTTTAAATCAGGTATTCCTTTCTCAGAAACCTTCCCACTCGAGTTCTTTCTTATTTTTCCGTCACAGACTGACTGACATTTACTCTGCTCACTTAAAACAGCAGATCAGGAAGTGAGTGTGTGGTTCTGTGGTAGACCATGTGTCCACCAGGCATCAAGTCTTGGGTTTGATTCCCAGTGTAAAACAACAGAGAAACAAGAGCTAGTGAGCACTTCCAAGTGTTAACCGAAATTAGTAACTCAGTGGGAGAAGAGGGAAAAAATGAATAGATGACTCTTTTTTGGGTTTTCAAGACAGGGTTTTTCTCTGTGTAACAGCTCTGGCTGTCCCAGCTGTCCTAGAATTCACTTGCTTCTGCCTTCCAAGTGCTGGGCTTAAAGGCTGGTGTCATCACCACTGCCAGGAGAATCAAATGACTCTTAACGACCCTTTAAAACTAGAGAAAATCAAGTGGGTACTAAGGGCAGTATTTTCCCATCTTCCTCTTCCCCTTATCTAGTGTTGCTGGAGACCAGACCATGGACTTCATGCACACTACCAAACTACTCTAAGCCCAAAGTAGTTCACACCCCAAGGAACCTTTTGTAGACAGTATATAAACTAGCTGAATTCTGCATTCCTATGTGAGCTCATCTCTACCTTTGGGGTGTGTAATCTACTAACACACACTGGCTTTTCCTCCACCCCTCACTCTGTTTCTGTCTTGACTCTGTTAAAAGGCTTCAGGGGAAGCTCTGGCATGAACGGCAACACCTCCAAGGAAGGCCCAGCAAGCACCGCTGGTGAAGAGATCGGGAAGAAATCTTTCCGGACAAATCTGGACACCAATCCTTATTTGGCAATGGCAAGAAATAAGGTTGAAGAATGGCCAACATGTTAGAGTGGAAGACAGGTCACTTGAGGAGTCCTTACAGTCTTGGGAAGCAGTAGCAGTGATTTTAGTTCATGGGCTGGTGAAACTTTGCTTGTTTTTAGAGACAGGGTTCTCTGTGCTACAGCTCTGCCTGTCCTGGAACTCACTCTGTAGCCCAGGCTGGCCTCAAACTCACAGATATCTGCCTGCCTCTGCCTCTGCCTCCTGAGTGCTGGGATTAAAGGCATGCACCACCACCACCACCGCCAGCTGGCTACTATTTTTTTTTTTTTTTTTTAAGATAAGGTAGCTCAGGCTGGCCTCAAATTTAGGATCTTCTCAACCCAGCCTCCTAAATGCTGGGATTCAGGCATGAACCACCACTCCTGGCTTAGTGTGGATCAATCCCAGTTCTAGGCAGCAGAAGTAAGTCAGAAGTTCTGTCATTTTTGCCTACACAGCAAGACTGAGATCAGTTATGCCAGGTTAGCACTGGGATTACTGGCCCACACCACGCTCCTATTTTTACATGAGTGCCAGAGATCCAAACTATCTCCTCCAGCCCATCCCCACCCCTTCGTGGAGATGGGGTCTCCAATCCCTACATATCGTAGGGGGCCCCCACTCCAAGTGCCGGGTCAGAGTTGCACACAAACTTGCTTCCTTCACCAGCTTCAACAAGCCAATTCCACCTCGTTTGTTCTCCAGGCTGCACACCTGTCAAGGGCAGTGTGACTTGTTTCTTCCATTTTGCTGGTCTGGATAAGCTCAAAAATTGCTAGCAAAAGTGCTTTTATTCCAAGATTCCCTATAGTTCTCTTGATGTTAGTAGGAGAAAAACATGCTGTGAATATTTTATGTGAAACAAGTAAACAGAAGTTCCATTGTTGGTTCTTTGGACCCAGAGCTGAGTATACGAAGATGTACTTTGCACACATCAACTTAAAAGAGCTATGAGGGGCTGGCAAGATGGCTCAGTGGGCAGAGAGAGGCACTTGCCGCCAAGCTTGATACCCAACCTCCATCCCGGGGACCCCTGGAACATCTCCCCGTACCACAGCATGCATGTGCACGCACAGGCACACCCACAAAACAAGCTTGATCAGCCCAAGTGTAGGATGCCGAGGCAACTGCAAGATGGCAGTGGCTTTGTAAGTCTCCAAGCCCATTCCCTTCCAATATTAACTTCACGGTTCTCCTTCAGAACTAAGGATGTATGTTAGTGCTCATAGAGAAAGGTTCTTATAAGACAACGATTTCGGTAAAAAGTTGAAAATTTACCATCTCTCACACTAGATTGACCGTCCTCTCTCTTTTTCGTGCTCTTTCTTTTTCTAGCTCCCTTTTGATCTTTATTAATCTCTGTGTTACCTAATTTCAAATTGACAAAGTTAGTTGACAGTTTCTATTATAGCTTAAGGATTTAACCATAAGCATGACATTATGATGGAATTACCAACCTAAACAAATAATTCCCACATCATCTCATCTACGACAATTATTGAACATGATTCTCTCCCCCAAATTAAAAAATAAAAAGCCCATAAGCCTATTTTTATCAGTGCAATTCACCACAATCGAACGGGTGTGCGCTCTCTCACTCTCTCTCCTTTTTGGTGCTGGAGATTCGAGCCCAGAGCCTCACTCACACGTACCAGGCAAGCACTCCATCACTGAGCTACATCCCAGCCCTGGCTGGCCCGGAGCTCACTATGTACTCCAGGCTGCCTGGACTCAGAGACCCTCTTACCTCTGCCTGCTTAATGCCCAGCCTCCCTCTCTCCTTCTACCTTGAGGGCTCTGAGGACCAAACGCAGGTCGATGGGCTGGCACTGCAATGTCGTACCTGCTGTGCCAGCCTCTGGTCCCTATTTTAAATTTTATTTTGAATGGCAGGTGTGCAGTGTACTTGGGAGGCTGAGGCAACAGACTGCTACGAGTTCAAGTCCAGTTCAGAATATACAGCAAGACCCTGTATTTCCAGAACCACCACCTAAAAAATTATTCTGAGAGCCCAGACTGGTTTGGAATTTGTGATTCTCCTGCCTCAGCCTCCAGAATAGTTGTAGGGAAGGAGAAAGCCGAGTGAATGTGTATTGTTGACATGAGCATGACCATACCAAGGACTCCAGTGCCTCCGCCCCACAGGTAAGGCTAACAATGGCCAAGCATTCCTTGGGAGTCCCGGTGGGAGGGTGAATATGTACTAGTAACTGAGGGCCCGCCTCCAAATGTTTCCAGCCTGAGGCTGCTGGACTAGAGAATTCCTACGGAGACTAGCTACTCGCAACCCCCCCCCCCCCCCCCCCCCGCCAGCTGTACCTCATAAGCAGGTGAGGCTCTTGACTGCTGGGGGTGGAAGGTGCTCTCCATCAGGGGTAGCACACCCACTGGACCCCAGCTTCCTTGTATCTGTGTCTATGTGTGGGGTTCTAGGACCCAGGGCAAGCAGGATGCAGTAACAGCTAAGATCACGGATGTGTGATCCCATGTCTGGTGAGATTTTCTGCTTTAAGAAACTAATGTAAGTCTAGACAGCGAAGAAACCAAAATAACAACAACAACAACAACAACAACAACAAACCGCTGAAGTTAAACTGGAAAAACTTGTACGACTAATTTCCTATGCTGAAATATTAGAAGAATATAGTGTGTATTCTTTCTCAGACATTCACAGAATGGAACCTCCTTTCTCTCTTCCAAATTCCCTGTATTCCTCTCAGCCCAGGCTAGCTTTGAACTCCAAAACCACTTGCTTCTTCCTCCCACATGCTGGGATTACAGGCACACTCTCTGCCACTGAACTAGTGCTCAGCTTTTGAGCTTCATTTACTTAAGATCTCAAATTAAGCCGGGCGGTGGTGGCGCATGCCTTTAATCCCAGCACTCGGGAGGCAGATCTCTGAGTTAGAGGCTAGCCTGGGCTACCAAGCGAGTTCCAGGAAAGGCGCAAAGCTACATAGAAGATACCCTGTCAAACATCTCAAATTAAACTGGTTTCTTTTATCTCTTAGGATGAAATATAAGTCCTGAAATGGCTATCTGTAAACGGGCCTAAGGATCACTGTGGCCCTCACCTAACCACCAGCTGACCTTTTCCTTGACCTTTACTAAAAGGTACAGATGGAAACACAGGCTAAACAACTAGTTGATTGCTTGTGAATTCAAAGTCCACCTTTGAATTTTTTTTTTTTTTTTTTTTGGTTTTTCGAGACAGGGTTTCTCTGTGTAGCTTTGCGCTTTTCCTGGAACTCACTTGGTAGCCCAAGCTGGCCTCGAACTCATAGAGAGATCCACCTGCCTCTGCCTCCCAAGTGCTGGGATTATTTTTTTTTTCTTTTTTTCACCTTTGAAATTACAAGCAGCTTTTTTTCTTGGAGGTTTTCAAGGCTAGCCTCAAGAAGATTGGGAGCTTCTCTTTCATCTCTATCTTAGTTCAGGGAGTGACCAAACCTTTATGGGATACAAGGACTTACAGACAATGGGTGGGGATCTCCAGGGTAAGCAGGGAGATTATTCTCCTGTTCTCCACTTTCACAGGACAAGTTCAACTCCATGCCTGCTGTTGTCCTTGATGGACATGCCCTGGCCTGGCATCTCCAATATCTGGGGTCTCCCCTGCAGCTGAGGCTAGGCCTCCCCAGGGACTCTGAACTGCTAGGCCTCAGCGCCTCTCCAAGACTCCCTCAAGTCTTCAAAACCAGCACCTTCTACACACTGCCACGTTCTGCTGCCAGCTTGATACAGCTTATCTGGACACAGCCTCTGTGTGCTGACCTGAGGAAATACTTCCCTACTGGCCGCCTGATACGGAGACATTTTTACCTCAGTGGCGCTGGTCTCTTACAGATCACGTGACTCTTCAGTGTCAGTTCATCAGCACACACACGTTTAGTCCACAATACCACAAACAACCACTATGCCAAGTGTCAAGAGAATCTTTGCCTCCCTCTGAAACCTCAGCCACGACTCCACTGTCTACGTTCTGAGCACAGGCTAAGCAAACACTGTCCCACCAGGCTGTGTTCCTGCTCCCCTCCCAACCCCCCTTAATTTCCTCCCGTCCCCATCAACACCTCTCCCCTCCACCAGTTTCTTTCCCAGGCTCATGACTTTTGGTTTGGCTTTGTGACCCATTTCTTCTAACTCGGGACATTTGTGTGACCACTGGATTCCCACAACCCACTGGAGCCTGGCGGGCACACAGCTGAAGGCCATTATTCTAGCTCTCCTGAATCTACCAATAACCAGCAGTTCAGTGAGAGTCCATTATCTTGCAAGTGATCTGGATACACTGGGGCAGTGCCTGAGCTTTCTTTTTGTTAAGCCAATTCAAAGGAAGAGGAGGAACTTTTGGTCTGATGGTACAGGCCTCTAACACCAGCTGGCAGGGCACCTAAGGCAGGAGGAACAAGTTCAAGGCCTGCCTGGGCTACAGAAGAGTTCAGGATCATGCCAGGCAACTTAGTGAGACCCCGTCTTAGAACGGATTAAGAGGAGGGCTGGAGACACAGCTCAATGGCAGTGTTTGGCTAACGTGTGCCCCCTACACTCAACCCTCAGGACCAAAGCCAGCAAACCCAAACGTGCCAGGACGATGGGGCTAAAGGTGAGAGAGAGGCCTTAACAACCACACTGTCAACGTGATGCGCTTTATTTAACTTCTAGTAGAACTACCCAGAGGTTTCTACCAATGTGATGTCAGCTATAACTTCTTCAGTAGTATTATTTCTTTCATTCTAACTACAAACTGTAGCTCAGTGATAGATGCCTAGCAGGCATAAAGTCCTGGGTACAATCCCCACCACACACACACACACACACACACACACACACACACACACACACACACAAATGGTAGAACAAATCATCATCTACAGTTCTAACACTTTATATTTCTAACTTAACATTTCTTGGGTAATAAATATTTTTAAAACAAATCTTCAAGTGATGAAGATTTAAATCAGTAACAAAAAATTTAAGTCACTTAAAAATAGAGTTTGACAGTATTTTTGAAACATCACACAAAAAGAATTAGTTTTTAAAAAGCATTCACTAGAACAATGCTTAGAATAAGCCAGGAAGCAGGACCTATGCATTACTGAAAATACATCTTACCTGAAAAGCTCATCTTTTAAAAATCAGAAACAATTTCAAGCTCATTCTGTGAAGCCTATCACTTTCATTATGTCAGCCCATAAAGTTCCAGTGAGGTAATCAATCTCTGATAACTGAAATGTAACTAGTATTCCGGAATAAGATACTCACCAAGCGGAGCTTTGAGGAAACGCCGTTCGATGCCCTGCTCTATCTGGAAGAGGGCCATGGCCAGATAATGAACCACACTGCTCACCGACTGTGGTGTACTGCTGTTGGTTGAGACTGTACTTGGAGTTTCTGTTTTAACCCCCAAAAGTCTACAATGAAAATAAAAAAAGTTATGCTGAAACTTGGACCTACTTACTCTTGCAAAGTTGACTGTGTGCATGTGTGTGTGTGTATGTGTGTGTGTGTGTGTGTGTGTGTGTGTGTATGTGTGTGTGCGTGTGCGTGCGCTCCCACCACAGCACTTGGGTGAAGGAATAGCCGAGGTTCATTGAGGACAGAAGGGCACCCAGTCAAGGAGGGAAGGCTTCTGGGGAAAATGTCCAGAGCTGAGGGCGGCAGACCTCTATCTAGCCTGTGGATCTTGGGCAGTCTGTCATTATTGCCCTGCTTCAGCTACTGGGCAAGACCCTTGTAACTTCCCTTCCTCAGGAGATGTCAACCTCCAGACTTCCATCTCCTTGGTGTAGAACCATCACTCACAAAGCCTCTGCACATCAGTTTCCCCACAGAAAACTTCTAGAGTACTTTCTGTTTGTTTGGTTTTCTGACACAGGGCTTCTCTGTGTAACAGCCCAGGCTGTCCTGAAACTCACTTTGTAGCCAAGGCTGGCCTCAAACTCAGAGATCCACCTGGCTCTGCCTCCCGGAGTGCTGGGATTAAAGGTGTGTGTCACCACTGCCTGGCTGCACTTATTTTTAAAGTGTGTGTGTGTGTGTGTGTGTGTATTTATTTCTGGAGAGCAAGTTGAGCATCTCAGGTATGCTAGGCAAGTATTCCACAATTGAGCTACATCCTAGCCCACCTCAGAACTTACTCACTCATTGAGTTTGTATGCGTGTGTGAGTATTCTCTGTTGTAGAATTTTATTAAATAACAAACAATAGCCTGGTGGTGGTGGCGCACATCTTTAATCCCAGCACTCAGGAGGCAGAGGCAGGTGGATCTTTGTGAGTTCAAGGACAGCCTGGGCTACAGAATGAGTTCTAGGAAAGGCACAAAGATACACAGAGAAACCCTGTCTGGAGAAAAAACAAACAAAAAAACAAAAATCAAATAAACAAAAAACAAAACAAAACAAAACTAAACTAAAAAAAACCCAAAGACAAACAATAAGAGATGTTTGTCAGTCCCTAGGGAAAGGCTCCCACTGGCCACAATGGAGAGAGGTCACATTAGACTAATCAACTGTCATTTAGGTGTGGGACAACACTAAACATGGCAATCTTCATCCAAGTCCTTAGGAAGGAGGCCATCTCTTGATGTAGCTACAAGTGCCGGGCGGTGGTGGCACACTGTAGTGGAATAGTATTTTAAGGTGTGTTACTTTTGTTTATGTTGCATTTGTTTAACTCTGTGGAGCTGTGTTACTGTGCCTGTCTAAAACACCTGATGGTCTAATAAAGAACTGAATGGCCAACAGCAAGGCAGGAGAAAGGATAGGCGGGGCTGGCAGGCAGAGAGAATATATAGGAGAAATCTGGGAGGAGAAGAGGAGGAGGACTCCAGAGGCCAGCCACAAAGCTACACAGCCAGCCACAGAATAAGAAAGAAAGGTATACAAAAATAGAGAAAGGTAAAAGCCCAGAGACAAAAGAAAGTTAAAGAAAAGGTGGCAAGAAACAAGCCAAGCTAAGGTTGGGCATTTGTAATTAAGAATAAGCCTCCGTGCTTATTTATTTGGGAGGTGGGTGGTGGGCCCCACAAAAGAGCAAAACCAAACAACGGTAGACATACAGAAGAAGTCAGAGGCTAACTTGTGATAGGCACTTCTCCCTCTGGTTGTTTTCTGCCCTGGGTGTACTGTGTACTGTCTGTGAGTTTCTGGCCAGTTCTTCTGTACCCACTTCTGTCTCCACACAGGGGACTGGGATTGTCTGGAATGGTTCTGGGGTACAAACGCAGGTTACCAGGCTGGCACTGCAGACACGCACTTTCACCTGCCACGCAAGCAGGAGTTCAGGTCTGCAGGGCCCACATGGAAAGGAAGACATGGCGGCAGTGGACAGGTGGCCTGCAGCTCACTGCCCGGCCAGCCTGGCTGGATTAGTGAACTCGAGACTCAGGAGAGGCCCAGCCTTAGTGAAGGATGGCGACACTGACTCCTGCTCTCCACACATGTGAATGCCTGCTCTCCACACATGTGGACTCCTGCTCTCCACACGTGTGGACGCCTGCTCTCCACACGTGTGGACTCCTGCTCTCCACACGTGTGGACGCCTGCTCTCCACACGTGTGGACTCCTGCTCTCCACACGTGTGGACGCCTGCTCTCCACACGTGTGGACTCCTGCTCTCCACACGTGTGGACGCCTGCTCTCCACACGTGTGGACTCCTGCTCTCCACACGTGTGGACTCCTGCTCTCCACACGTGTGGACTCCTGCTCTTCACACATGTGGACGCCTGCCCCAAACAGTAGTAACAGAATGAAAGTAAACATTTCCTAAAAACCCAGACTACAGGGCAGGCAGGAACTGACAATTACTTCAGAGAAGCCTTTGTACCTGTCTCTCACTATGACCCTTGCTTGTTCAATTTCCATCTCCTCTACATCTTCATCCACAGTTTTAATTACTCCATTCTCTTTGTTTTCCTCACTTAACAGCTCATATCGTCCACTTTCTAAGGCTGATCTCCAGATGTGTCGATCTGTAACCTGTAACGAAACCCACATTTATTAACTCTGAATTATGGGAACACATGACTCCTCAGAGGTATTCCTTATATGGTAAGATTAATTCATGTACATTCTAGAACAGATGAATCAGAAGGCGTCTTAGAAAACACGGTTACTGCACTCAGGAGGCTGAGGCAGGAGGACTAGCAGGGGAGCTACGGTTATAACAATGAACTCAAAACCAAAATAATAATAAAAAAGGTCACAAATTACGAAATGAAATTTATATAATTCATAGATGAAAGCTTTAATACTTTAGTCTATTTTAAAAAATCATAATGTGTGTGTGTGTGTGAGAGAGAGAGACAGAGAGACAGAGAGAGGCCCAATCTGGCTTTGAATTCATGGTGATCCCCCTGCTTCAACCTCTAAAGTGCTGGGATTACAGCTATGAGCCACCATACACAACTTTATAATGAATTTTTTTTTTTTTTCAAACAGGCGTTCCCCATGTTGCTCTGGCTTGTCCCGAAGCTCACTTTGTAGACCTGGCTGGCCTCAAACTCATAGAGATTCACCTGCCTCAGCCTCCCAAGTGCTGGGATTAAAGGCATGTGTCACCATGCTTAACTATAAACAATTTTTTAAAATTTAAATTTAAGTGTTTCATCTGTGTATTAGTGTATGCACCACTTAAATGTCCAATGGCCATGGTGACCAGGAGAGAGTTAGGTCCTCTGGGAGTGGAGTCACGGAAGGCTGGGAGCCACCACTAATTGAACCCAGGTCCTCTGGAAGACCAAACAGCCAGTGCTCTGATTAGCTGAGCCGTATTCCCAGCCCCACAGTAAACGATGGTTAAGACATGAACAGAGCTTATGTAACAGGCATGATGGTGAGAGCCTGTAATTCCAGCACGCGGATGGAGAGTTCCAGGCAATCCAGGCTACAGTGTTAGACCAGCAGCTGGAGATGCACTTCCCTGGAGTCACCGCCCGGTTTGTATGAGGCCCCATTAGTTGGGAGACAACCAACTGACCTGACTAAGCAGAGAAGGCAGGAGTTAGTTAAGGAAGAAAATATCCTTATATATTTCAACATCTGATGAAAATATAAAACATTTAGAAATATTTACACATACTAGCTAAGCTATAAACATCAGGAGGCGCAAACCTTGATTGCTCCTAATGTCCCTTGATAGATTCTGTCTTCAATATCCAAGAGAAAGTCTCGGAGGCGCAGCTCCAGCTGTCTCTCTGCAGACATCTGTGATGTGTCCCATGCATTGGAAGATCGTCCCCGAGAAGAAATAGGCTTGCTATCAGCTTGAGGTTTGTCTGAAATAACCATCAAATATCTCTTATATTAAGACTTTCTCCGTAAAAAAAAAAAAAAGACATGACATGATTTTGAGAAAATCGACAAGAAAGCACCACAAATCCTCAATAGCAACACCCATAAATCTGGGGAAGGGTTTCTGTTGCAGTGATCAACACCAGGGCCAACAGCAGCTTGGGGCGGAAAGGGGTTATTTCAGCTTATAACTATCAGGTCAGGAACCTGGAGGCAGGAACTGAAGCAGAAGCCACGGAAGACGGCTGCTTGTTGGCTTGCTCCTCTTGATTTGCTTAACCTGTTTTTTTTATACCCTCCAGGACCAGCTGCCTAGGCATGGCACTTCCTGCAGTGAGATGGTCCCTCCTATGTCAATTATCAACCAAGAAGCCCTACAGACTTCCCCACAGGCCAATCCCATGGAGGCAAGACTTTTTCTTTCACGATGATTCTAATTTGTATCAGGTGGACATGAAACTAGTCATCACATTGTATCCAGAACATACAAAGAACTCTTACAATAAAGACATCCAACACACAAAAAGATAATCCATTTACTGAGCAAAATGGGCAAATATTTGCAGACATTTCTTTAAAGGAAAATATACAAATGGATCCTCCCCAGTGAGGCTTCACACCCCTTAGGATGGCTGAAATAGAACGTTAGTTTACAAGCAAGTAGAGAAACTACAATCTTCATACACCATGAGTGGGAAAATAAATGTGTAGCTGCTTTGGGAAACAAATTAGCAGTTTCTGGAGTATTAAAGTTATTACATGACCAAGTAATTTTACACCTGGGTTGCCTTCCCTCAAGTTGTTTTGTTACAATAATGCAAAGTTGAATAATACAAGCAGTCCGTCCATGGACAAGGAATGAGAAAGACCTGCTTACACTGTAGATGGTTCCTCATGATCCAAGTGACATAAAGACATTTTGTGCAACCTTGTCTGTACAAAGAACTCTATGCCCACAGTATAATTTGCAAACTAAAAAAACCAGGTCAAAATGAAACCTAACATATTTTAACCTATATGTAACAGCTTGATATAGATTTAATCCTCAATGATTAGGAATATAGGAAGAGAAAAAGGAAAAAAAAATACCACGATGGTTCTTTGAAGTTTTATGTGAAAGCTGGGCATGGCGGCATTCCCAGCACTTGGGAGGCAGAGGCAGACAGATCTCCGTGGTTTCAAGGCTAGCCTGGTCTACAGTGAGTTCCAGGACAGCCTGAGATATGCAAGGAGAACCTGATTCCAAAACAATAAACAAACAAGAATTTACCTGAAAAGTGGAATTTATCTTCAGAAAAGTGGGCCAGCTGCGCACATATCCTGCTCTTCTCCTGCAGCAGGGTGTCCTTTAGGGCACTTTCTCTGTGCCCCCTGGAGTTGAGAGCGTCAATGAGCTGCTCCAGCTGCTCCGGAGAGCTGTAAAAGCACCACCGATTTGGCTTACGCACTGGTTTTGGCAGCAGTACAGAATCGTCGAATGGACCTTGGTCAAGGCTGGAGGTAGATTCAGACATGAAGGGCTCTTCAGTTTTAACAGACACCTGAGGATCACGAGACTGTGCACTATTATGAAATGATGAAGGTCTAGGCAACAGCATGTCTTCAGTGAGACCTGAAAAATCCTCTTCTATGAACAAACCAGGAATAGAAGGGAAAATCCAGTATCGCCTGTACATGCGGTCTCGCCCCAAAGGGAAGATATTGGTACAGGCGATGGCACTCTGGATCTTGCCGAGGAGTTCTTTCTCTTTCTGCTGCTGCTCCTGTCTCACGGCCTCCTCTGCGTCAGCAGGAAGAGGCTCCTGCTTTATACAGCAGCTCATCTCTTCCTGCTTCACACACTGCTTAACTCCATTTTGTCCCGCTTTCCCTGTGTTGAAATAAAATGGATCATTAGATCTTATTTATTTTGTTTCTTTGGATTTTGTTGCTGTTATTGTTTGAGAGAGGGTCCCGTTATACAGACCTGGCTGGCCTGGAGCTCACAGAGATCCACCTACCTTGAGCTCTTAAAGGACTCTGCCATCATATTCAGTTTCATTATATTTTACATTTTCACTAAACAAATACAAGACATGCTGGGCTGTGGTAACAGCAATTTAGGAGACAGAGGCAGATTGAATCTTTGTATTTGAGGCCAGTCTGGTCTACAGAATAAGTTCCAGGACAGCCAGGGATACATACAGGGATACCCTGTCTTGAAACAACAAGAAGGGGGGGGGGGAGGAAGGAAGGAAGGAAGGAAATACGAGACACAGAGCTAACCACAATTTACTGTGTTATGGACTGAACCGTGTTTCTCAGATCCACAGACTGAGGCTCAGGCTCTTACAGTGGCTGTATTTGAAGCTGGGGCCTTAACTGACCAGAATCTGGGTGCTAAGAATAGGACACACTAGATCTCCTCCTCTTGGGCATGCAGATTAAGTTGTGTAAAGACACAATGAGAGATCTTTGTGTGTAGGCTTGTACACTGCTTTAATACATTATAAAGTAAAAACTAGTAAAACCAGGTTCAATAAAACTTGCTAACTAAAATTGGAAGTTACTCAGAAGGCAGAGATAGGAGAGGCTAGCCTGGTCTACACAGTGAGTTCCAAGCCAGTCAGGGCTACAAAGTGAGACCCTGTCTCAAACTGCCACCAACCTCTCAAATAACATTTGAAGTTAGGAAACACTGATCTATGATAGGCATAGTGGTTCAATCCTAGCACTTGGCAGGTAGAGGCAGGTGAATCTCTGAGTCTGAGGCCAGCCTGAGGCAAATTCCAGGATGACCAGGACTACATAGAGAAACCTTGACTTGGGGGGAAAAAAAAAGAAAGTTCCAGGCAAGTCTGGGTTATACTATATAGTGAGACCCTGTCTTGATGAAGATACAGCAATGTTTTCCGCAACATCATTTTATAACAAATTGGTCATTTTTACAACTCATCATGAGCTGTAAGGCAGATGGTTAAGACACCACACAGATATTCAAGTAGCATATACCTAAAACTCAGAGAGAGAAGCCTGAAAATCAGGAATTCAAGGTCAATTCTGGCTACATAGTTTAAGGCTGGCCTGAATATAGCTGAATCAAGACCTAGCCGAGAAACAGACAATCCTTCCGTAAATGATCTGACCAATACCTCTTCTGCTCCTCTTCTGGGACCCGGGGTCATCCTCATCCTCAGTAACCACATCAGGGTCCAGGTCTTTCCGCTCTGTTTCTTTGCTCTCAGTACTAGTGTCAAAATCTTCCCGTCCTTCCTCCCTGAAAGGAAAAGGAATGAGTTTAGACTCTCGAGAAAGTGCAGGAGGAGTGACTCAAGATGTGGAAGGGTATGGATATGCTTGGCCCTAGAGCAGTGGGCAGAGTGAAGAGTTTATCTATTTCATGTCTATGCGTTTTGCCTGCATGTATGTATGTGCATGTGGATGTGTTTTGCCTGTGTGTGTACATGTGCACCATGCATGCTCCTGGTGCCTGTGGAGGCCGGAAGAGGGCTTGGATCCCAGGGACTGGAGTTACAGATGGTACTGAGTACCAGGTGCTGCTGGGGTACTCTCCACAGTGAGTTTAGAGACGGGAAAGGAGACTAGGAGCATGTTGACGGCGATCTGGCTGACAAAGTGGATGGTGTGGATCTATGCTCAGGGGATGGCTAGGTGGTGACCATGGCTCCGAGCAGGGAAATGAGAGAGACAAACACCAGGGGAAGCAGCACCACACCAGCTCCAGTGAGTGGGTGGAATGAGCAGAACCTGTTGTGATTCCGTTAGAGTGAATTCCACCATTTAAACTGGGCACAGAGGTGCAAGCTAGGGCTATGAAGAAAGACCAGTTTTAAAGAGCCAAAATAATCTCTTTTTATAAAAAAGAAAAACCATCATCTCAAAGGTACAACTTAGTGGTGTTTTTAGCACATTACAAGAGAGCCTGTGGTGGTGGGAACGAGAATGGCCCCCATAGGCTCACGTATTTCAATGTCTAGTCCCTAGTCCGAGACTGTTGAGGCAAAGATTAGGTGGTGTGGCATTGTGGGTAGGCTGCTAGGTTTCAAAAGAGCAGCCTAGTCAGTCTTTCTCTCAGCTACCGTTCGAGCACCGTGCCTGCCTGCTTCCCACCATGATGATGAGAGTTAACCCTTGAAACTGGAAGCTTCAACACTTGCTTTTCTAAGAGTTACCTTGGTCATGGCGTCTCCTCACAGCAACAGAACAGTGATTAAGACACCGAGCAATCGCCAACACTAATTCTATAATATTTTAATTATTCTGACAGAAAAACCTCATATTCATTAACAGTCATTTCCCATCCTTTTCCCCACCGTCCCCAGCACGACATACTCACTTTCTATATTATTTAATTTAGCACAAATGTTTTCAAAGTTCACCTGTATTGTAGTAGACAACAGAACTGTCTTTCCGACTATGGCTAGGTAATATTCTGTAGAGATGCAGAAGGTGTGGACTTCTTTGTTTACACTTTTAGCACATGATAAACGCTACCTTGTTACTTTTTACAATTTACCAGTACTGTTAGGAATAGGTGTGGTGGCATATGCCTATATTCTTAATACTTGGGAAGCAGAAGCAGGGGATTAATGTTTGAGGCTATCTTGGTATTTACCAAGGATGGCAGAAATCAACCTTTGAATATAATCCCATTCCTCTGTAAGGCTCAGGACTGTGAAATAAGTGTGTACCTATGTTGCTGGTGGCTGTGGAGGGGAGAAAGAAATGAATCATTTAGGCAAGAGATATAACTTCTAGAAAATTATCATTTACAACATTAATTAAAGAGAAAGGTGCCGGGTAGTGGTGGTGCACGTCTTTCCCAGCACTCAAGAGGGAGAGGCAGGCGGATCTGAGTTTTATGCCAGCCTGGTCTATAGAGTGAGTTCTAAGACAGCCAGGGCTACACAGAGAAACCCTGTCTTGAAAAATAAATAAATAAATAAAATTTAAAAAAAGGAGAAAAAAATGAGTTCTTATATTCTCAAAAATTAGGCTAAAAATTAACCCATGTATACTTGATAAGAGTCTATACATAAATTTCATAAGCTTTTTAATATAATTATAGAAAATTAATTTTCTAAACGCTGAAAGCGCCTCAGCGTGTCAGGTGTCTGGTTTATTTACTCTTTATGTATCTAAGTAAACAAACAAAGCCACAGGAGTGAAACTCCAGCCATACCCGAGGTCTGGCGCTGACCTCCGCTGCTCCCCCTCCTTCAGCTTCTCTTGTTTCTCTTTCATTTTCTGTTCTTGTTCCTTAAGTTTTTCTTCCTTCCGTCTACGGATTCTGAAAGTCAAACAAAAGGTACAGTCCACCTGACAAAGACACTTTTCCCAAAGCATCCTGTCTTTACAGACAGTGCTCCCAATGCTATTTCAAACCACGCTGGGGAAACCCACCCCCACGCTCTGGAGAAACACCCCACATCAGCACAAGCCAGTGCTGTGCCAACACAAGAGCGCCAGCCAGCGAGAGCCAGCGAGCACCGCTTACCTAGCGGCCGCGGCTTCTCGTTCTTTGCGGTGTTGTTCTGCCTTGAGCTCTCGGAACTCCTGCTTGGCCTGCCGTAATACATCCACGTAATCCTCAATGAAATCCCTGGTAGAAACTAGGGTCAGGAGCTTCCCACAGAGAGCATGAAGAATCTTCATTTTTTCTCCTGCCAAAATGGATAATTTCTGTGTTATCAATGAGGAAGAGGGGAACAGCATTTAACAGTTTTTAATTTGTAACTCAATAACAAGATGCCTAGTAAAGAACAAGGAGTAGCAGATGTGGTGGCCAGCATTTGGGAGGCAGAGACAGGCCCATCTTTGTGAGTTCAAAGCCAGCTTGGTCTACCATAGTGAGTTCCAGGGCTACATAGTGAGATCCTGCCTCAAAATGAAACAAACCAAATCAACCAAATTATCCTAACAATAAAATGGACTTTTCTTTAATGACTGATTTATCCTCTGGGGTTTCTTGTTGGCTTGTTAGTTTTCTGGATAAAAGAGATGGGCAAGAAGGAAGCAGATTAGAAAAATTCCATCTTGAGTTTACCTGGTGTCAAATCATACACAGACGTGCTGGACAGTTTTTTCACCAGACTGGGATTGCTCAATCGAAGCTCCATGCAGGCATCGTCTGTAGCATCGAATCCTCCTCGTTTCTGATATCGGTACTTTGCATTTGCTGATGTCACATCAGCGCCTGAAGCTAAGATGTGCAGTCTGAGGATTTCAGAAAGAGTGCAGCTATCAAGATCCAAGCTTTTCAAACTGCAGCCTATATTGTTAAAAATAAAACAGTCATTTAGAAAATAAACAATGAATACTCAGCAATGTAAATGTACCTTAATAAATTAAAATAAAATGCCAAACCAAAAAAAAAAAAAAAAAAGCCCACACATACCCTGGTGTAACTGTGGCCATGCAGCGGCCAAAGACGCAACTGCAGACAGTGCAGATTTTGTGGGGTCTGCATCTTCATCCAAAGCCTCTGATAAATCTTTAAGGAGATAAATACTTTATTCTAGTGCAAGAATATTTGGGAAGAATGCCCTTTTAAAACGATGAAAGAAACACACACAGCTTAACATTCAGGGACCTCAGAAGAACCAACTCTCAGCACAGCATCATTCACATTCTCTTGGTCTCCACCTACAGCAACAGATCCTGGAACAGACTGTACACTAACATTTCCTTATAGAGCACACAGAAGAAAATTTCCAAGTTACCAACAAGATGCACTTACATATTCCAAAAACAGCAAAATATATTTTAGAATGAAAAGAACTCACTCTTTCAATGTAAATCTACTGGTGCAAATACATAAGTGTCATATAAACAACTCTTCCCAATTATAATGTACAGATACAAAAATGTTAAGTGCCAACTGTACCCTCCATGCTCGCCAGAAACAAGACCAAGTAAACCAGCTCGCCTGCGCTTACAGAGCGGTGTTTGAAGGTATTCTAAGCAGCAGGCCATATTTTGGCTTTAGCACTGCTAAAATACATCCTTTAGACAACTCCGTTCATCTGAATTTTATTTTTCTTAAGGTTGAGTCTAGAGAAGAAATTCTTAAGTGAGAAGCTCAACACAAGAGAATCCTGTTACAGTGATGCCAGGAGGTGAGAATTCTGCCTCCATCTGGTCACTCTACTCCTGCACGCCCAACAGGATGCAGGCTAGTCTGCTTCTGTGCTTCCACATCGCTCTAACATGTGATTCACGGAGCAGCATTTCCAGTTGACTAAATGAACCTGAGAGAATGAAAGTGGCCAACATTTCCTAGGAAAAGGCAGCCCTGGGGTCAAGGTCTGATCACAATTACTGATGTTAAGATACAAAGCATAAATAGGACCACACAGAGGTTCCTGATTAAATTTAGTGCAAATGCTGAAGTCACACCTACCAGACCTAATCCAAATATATTTTTCCTACCAGAGAAATACAAGACCTAAAACTTTACATTTTTCAATTTATATATAAAGCCACAACAAATTTAACACTAATAGGCACTATGATTACCCATACTTCCTGACAGAGACACACAAGTGTGCTAGATCTCTTTCTCGGTAGACATTATCATGTCCAATCTCTACCATCTAGAGGAAATCATCATTTTAGAACAAAGGCTACAGAAGCCTAAGAAATGAACCATTGCTAGGCAGCGGTGGCGCACACCTTTAATCCCAGCACTCAGGAGGCAGAGCCACACAGATCTCTGTGAGTTCAAGGCCAGCCTGGTCTACAGAATGAGAGCCAGGACAGGCACCAAAACTATACAGAGAAACCCTATCTTGAAAAACCAAAAAAAAAAAAAAACACAAAAAACCATTAACAGAATGATTGTTTTATGTATTACATAAAATGACATGTTAAAATATGTATTTACATTAAAAAAGTACGTGGGTGTGTGCACCTTAGTGCACATTTGTGTATCATGTACGTACAAGTGCTGAAGGAGGCCAGAAGAGGGTGTAAGATGCCCTGGAACTGGAGTTACAGACAGCTGTTAGCCTCTGTGGGTGCTGCAATTCAGACCAGGGTCCTCTGCAGGAGCAGCCAGTGCTCTTAGCTGTTGAGACATCTCTCCAGCTCAAAATGCGTTTTTTTTTTTTGTTTTGTTTTGTTTTTGTTTTGTTTTGTTTTCTCGAGACATGGTTTCTCCGCATAGCTTTGCGCCTTTCCTGGAGCTCACTTGGTAGCCCAGGCTGGCCTCGAACTCACAGAGATCCGCCTGGCTCTGCCTCCCGAGTGCTGGGATTAAAGGCGTGTGCCACCACCGCCCGGCAAAATGCATATTCTTAAACTGCATTATTTACCACACGGGATGCTAGAGAACTCCAGGTACCTCTTTAGAATGTTTGGCATCACCTGGCTGAACTGTATCCAGCATAACTGTATGAAGCAGTTACATTTATTAGATTTGGGGGAGTGGGGTTATGACAGGGTCTGTCTATAGTCCTGGCACTGAACTCTGTAGACCAGGCTGGCCTCAAATGCCTCAGAGATCCTCCTGTCTCTGCCTCCCACCATACCTAGCTTTACTAGATCTTTTTTTTTTTTTTTTAAAAGATTTATTTTGTGTACAGTGTTCTGCCTGCCTGCCTGCCTGCCTGCCTGCCTGCCTGCCTGCAGGCCAGAAGAGGGCGCCAGATCTCATTACAGATGGTTGTGAGCTACCATGTGGGTGCTGGGAATTGAACTCAGGACCTCTGGAAGAGCAGTCAATGTTCTTAACCTCTGAGCCATCTCTCCAGCCCCTTACTAGATCATTTAATTGTGTGTACAAAGAGGTACACACAATTCCAACACTCAGTAAGATACGGGGGGAGGAGGGGGGGGAACGGACCTCACAACTTTTCTATTTAATGAGGATGCTCTTGCCCTTCAAAGAATTTTAAGCTTGTGGTATAAAACTAAAGACAGGAAACTGGTTATGGTAGAACACGGTTGTGATCCCAGCACTTAGAAAGTAGAGGTAGGAAGCAGGAGTTCAAGGTCAACCTCAGCTACAAAGCAAGTTCAAGGCCAATGTGAGTTATAAGACATTCTAGCTCAAAACAGCAACAGAAGTACAAAAAACTAAAGGCAGGAAGGAATATAGGACCTGATAAGGTTAGTACAAGATTTTAAAAACTGACAAAAATTCTAAGATTTGATATAAAAACAGAGATCCCAAGGACTAATGAAATCAGATATGGGAAACACTAAGAAAACAAATAGCTTTCTAACTTTGTTACCTCTTAAGATAATATCATATAGTCATTATGGGGTTACAGATCCGATTGTCTAAACTTGTGATCCATCACATCCTTATTAGCCATGTTTCTTTTAGTTATATCTCTGTTTCTTTGCATGGGAAATGAAAAGTATTATCTTCCTCATTTGGGTGATGTCCTTACATCCCCCACGGTCTGTGATAGGCAGTAAATAACCTTATTGAATTTGAGTTTTCTCACCACTAATACAAAATCCTATTTTTTTCTGCGCCAATTTCATGTTCATTAGAAACTACAGGGAATACCTTCGCAGTAAGGCCAGTTAAGTGGAAGTTAAAAAAAAAAAATCAATTCTATCTCACTGCTTTCAGGAAGATTGTAGAAACCTTTTCTGTTATTGAGATGGGAGATGAAAAAGTGTTTCCTGGGTAGTTGTCATCACTGAAACATATATAATTTAACTAGTAATAACAGAAAGGGGGCGGGGGAAAGCTATGCTTTGTTTTCCAGTTTCTAACATTTAGAATTTCAAATGGAACCTCGATTCTGTACTGAGCATTTCCCCGGAGACGGACTCTGTATTTGTATTTCTGTATCTGAGACTCATCTGTATAGAACAGAGCTGTGGTAAGTATAGACCACGGGCTGCAGAGGTGGCTCAGCAGTTCAAAGTACCAGCTGCTCTTCCAGAGGACGCCGGTTCAATTCCCAGCACCCACATGGCAGTTTCAACTGTCTGTGACTCCAGTTCCAGGGTACCTGACACCCATGGCAAAACACCAATGCACATTAAATAAAAATACATAAAACAAATTAACCTAATTCCTCCCTCTTGTCCATCCTTCATATTATTAAAAAAAAAGAAAAAAGAAAAAGAAAGTAAGTATAGACCAAGCAAATCCTGAATAGAAAAACCAGCAACTCAAAGACCAGTAGCTTCTTCTACTTTTCCTTTTGCATTAACTGATTTTTAACACCATTTCCTTTTCATTCTACTTTCTGAAAAAAATCATTTTCCTTATTATTACACTCGTGTGTGCATGCGTGTGCGTGTTTCCATGTGTAAGAGTGCAGGCGTGTGCCGGGCGGTGGTGGCGCACGCCTTTAATCCCAGCACTCGGGAGGCAGAGGCAGGCGGATCTCTGTGAGTTCGAGGCCAGCCTGGACTACCAAGTGAGTCCCAGGAAAGGCGCAAAGCTACACAGAGAAACCTTGTCTCGAAAAAACCAAAAAAAAAAAAAAAAAAAAAAAGAGTGCAGGCGTGCATGCAGAGGTCAGAGGACAACGTCTTTGGATGTTGGTTCTTTCTACACACGGGTTCTAGGGATCCAACGCCTGTCACCAGGCCTGCACTTCCAAACTGGCAAAACCTCACCCATCTAAAAAGCGGAACTGAACCCAGCCTTGTCTTGTGTCAAGGTCATAACTTCACCAATGACTCTAAGACATTACTGGCTAATAATAACACAATGGCTATACGACTATGTTCATCTGACCTAATCACCTAAGATGAACAAGGGAGTTGTCACGCTGCTAAACCACCTTGACATGGAGCCTCTGGTGACATGGAGCCTCTGGTGACATGGAGCCTCTGGTGACTAGCCCTTGAACTGGAGAACACAATTCACTTCAACTCAGACCACAGAGTCAGAAGGCAGCAGACAGCACGATACATACCTATCAATATCTTATTAATCCAGGGACTAAGTACAGAACCCAAACTATCTAGGGCCAAAAAAAAAAAAAAAACCAGACTGGAAGGAAGGAAGTCCCACCTTTGTCCACTAACACTCTGCCGTTGAGACACCTCCCAGGACGACTTCCTTCATAAGATTTTTACACACAGACGGAAGCATTATTGAATCAAGCTCCTAGTCCATAGTCTCGTGTGTGGCCGAGTCCACAGAATATTATTCAGGAAGCCAAATCAGTATCTTACATATATAAATGTCAACATTTCCTCTGACTCTGGGAAGTAAACAAAACACTGAACGTGTTGTTTTGTTTGAGAAAAGTCTCACGCATCGCAGGCTGGTCTTGAACTCAACTCAGTGTGTTGCTGAGGATGACCCTGCACTTCTGGTCCTCCTGCCTCTGACTCCCAAGTGCTGGTATTATGGGTGTGCTTCCCCATGTCCAGTTTTGAGGGGTGTTGGTGAACCCAGCCAGGGTGTTGTGATGCTAGGTGATCTAACCCACACATGCTGTTTAGAGGCAGTCTACTAAGAAAGTCAAAGGAAATGTGTGTCTGAGAATGGACGTGGGCTAGACAGCTGGACCCAGTCCAGTGCTCAAAAGACTCCTGGCATATTTTTAGATGTTTTAGAAGTTTTGCTTATGTTATGGTTAACATACCATATACAGACCCTGGATATTTAAAAGCATAGAATTTAAAGAACAAAATTCCTAATTCAAACTATGAAGATAATTTCCCTCAAATGCTAGTGTCAGATCTACAATAAAATCAGCAATAAATGTCGTTGAAAGAAAGTAGGAGTAACAAGTAAGTTGTGACGTTTCCCAACACAGGGCATCACAGACACCAGCCATCTAAATGACAAGGGGAATGTAAAGAATCAAAAAGGAAGACAACTCAGGGAGACTGTCACAGAGAGGTCACACCAATATTAAATTTTTATAGACAACTAATAACATGCTGTTAGAATAATATGACTTAGCATCAGAAAAACTGAAGACCTCTATTTCCTAACTGCAAAAGAAAAACTAGTTTTGAAATCATCATCAAACCCAGTTTTACTAGAGCGCTACTAGTTCACTCAGCAGTGATGTTGAACTCTGACCTTTGGTGTCAGCATCAGTTATCTGCTCTTTGGCTACTTCCTCCTCTTCTTCAGCCATGGCCTGGAAGATTGCAGTCAGGAAGAAAAAAAGCAATTCACACAGTGGGCCTTCACTGTCATTTCCTACAAGAGCTTCCTCTAACACTTCTGCGAACAAAACGTTTAGAAGAGTTTAAAGTTCTGTCATGACTGAACACACAACTCCACTGGAAAATAAGAAACATTCACCCAACACCAGTGTGTGCAACTGTCCTCCTAGGGTCCGTTTATGAAAGTGGATCCACTACTTACTGTCTGAACCAAAATAAATGTGATTGCAACACAGTCAATGTGCTAAAGAACGTCAAATAGCCTTCCTGGACCAAGATAACATCTAAATCTAAAGCCGAGGCACAACTCTAGCTACATCTAAAAGCATACACTTTTAGACGGATGTGGAGATGCATGCCTCTTCCTAATATTCAGGGGCAGAGGCAGGACTGCCACTGATGAAGGCAGACTGTTCTACCAGTCTACACAGCAAGCTCTGGGTCATAAATAAAACACATAATTGATTATTACTGTCCTACTGTTCCTGAGAGCTGTACAGGATGTTGTTTACCCAGGAGTGCACAGGAGAGGTAATTATCAAGTTTGACTCCTAATATTGTATAGGTATCAAATGTTTCCTTTCTAATTTGTTTACCTAAAATGCTCTTGATTCTTAAGACTTCATGCCTTAAATCTAGCCTATAAGGAGAAACTGTAAAATCTGAAAGCCCTGTTGGTCAATGTATTCTTATTAAAATAAGAATGTCAATGCAATTCTGTCTTGGAGGCTTTCTACATGCACCTTAAAAAATTTATTGGATAAAAATTTTAAATTTGATTCAAATCCCTCATTACATTAGATTCTTTTATCAATGTTTATACAAAGCTTTTAAACACACAGGTAAATTAGTCATAAATTAGAGGCAGACATTGCTCACTCAAGAAGTGGGGTCTCCTCTGCACCCCTTGAGTTCTAGTCAGTCTCTAACTGTTCTCATTGGTGCATGGTGGCAGAGGTAAGGATGTGCCAGCTCCAAGCCTAGCAGTGTATGTTTCCTAGTAGGGGGGGGGGCATGAAGAGGACTGAGGCATATACATCAAGAAGCCATCTTACAACCAGCCAGTCAAGCCTCATATGATCCCAGTTCTGCATTGTGACTGCGATCATATGGGAGATTCTCAAAGAGAAGCTCTGTCCAACGAGCCTAGGAACTGTGAAAGATGCTTGCTTTTAAAGCTCTGTCACGTAGCAAGCAACAGGTAACTTGAGTACTTGCCTAAGGTTACTCCCTCCGGAAACTCATCTTGAAGATCAAAGAGTTCCCCAAATGCATTAAGGAACTCCAAGACCATCAGCGCGTCACCAAAGATCTCAGGAGGTAGTCTGGTTTTCACTGGAGTTGGTTCTGGAAGTTCCTGCAAGGTGAAACAATCCATGGAATATGTGAACCAGATACAGGAAAGTTAAAGGAATACATATCCTAACATATTCTTTACCTAGTAAAACTGTCCCATGTGCATTAGTGGTCCTCAGCCCTGGACGGTTACCACATTTACCTTAGGAACTTAATTTTACTGTACCAGAGTCCATAGTAACAAACTATGAGGAAAGGACATTTCCTTTACCGAAAAAAAAAGGACTTTAGGCTGAAGTGTATTTCTGACACTCTTCTAGTAAAACCATCTTCCATCATGCTCAGATTCTGAAGACAAACTAACAGTGGGACCCAGGGAAGCCAAGAAGGGACATCTGTACAACTGGCTATTTCATTTTGGTTAAATGCTAGGAAAACAGGCTTCTATCAAGACACAGACATTTCAGCTGAGTGTCTATTACAGGCTACAATCTCAGCATGAGAGTGATACAGACGGAGGGAGCTGCAGGCTGCCTGCACTACACAGTGAGACCCATCTCACTGAAGAAAGAAAAAAAACCAATCCACCAAAATTTTTTTCTTGAGATAGGGTCTCAGTATGTAGATCAGGCTGGCCTCAAACTTGCAGAGATACATCCACCTGTCTCTGACTCCCAAGTGCTGGATTAAATACATGTGTCACCATGCCCAGCCCAATCAAACTTCTAGCAGCAAAGCTACATAGAACAAATTAAACACATCTGTGTCAAACACTGCACGTTCATACCTTAAGGTCATCACATTCCATATCTTCTCTGGGTTTACTCCACTGCTTTAAGTATTCCATATATTTTCGCTTTTCTTCACGTAATTTCTCTCTTTCCTAACAAGAAAGGTTAATAAAAATTATTACAAGAAATGTATTAGTCAATGTCAACATCACCTGGGATCTGTTAATAGACGCTGAAGCTGGGAAGCTCAGCCAGTGTAGTGCTTGCCCCAATTATGGATCCTGGGCTGGATCCTCACCACCACAGTCTTGGTGGCTTACACTTGAAATTCCAGTACCTGGAGGGCCATCCTTGGTTATATGAGACGCTGTCTCACAAACAAACAAACAAAACTCTGAACTGGGGTCACAAAGAGATGACTATGAAGTGTAAAAGCACACAGGAATATGTTGAACCTTAAAACAGCCATTAAAATTTCTGAAGCAAAAGGGAGAAAAACTGATTTTTCATCAGGGGTCTATGCACAGACTCAGAAATGTGAATGCGAATTTGTACTCTATGTAAGAATCACAGGTAAGGCATACTCAAGTGAATACCTTCTCTCTTTCTATTTTAAGTCTCTCTTTCTCTTCCTTTTTCTTCAGTCGCTCTTCTTCTACAATTTTCTTCAATTCTTCCCTCTTTTTCTCCTTATCTTCCTTTTCTTTTTTTCTTGCTTCCAAAGCGTCTGCTTTTTCTCGCTTTAGTTTAGCCTTTTCAAAAGCTGTGGGGAGGGTCAAATTTAAAACCATAAACAGGCAAACAGACGTTCAGGTTGTTCCCAAATCTAGTAAAAGAGGCCCAAAATAATTTAGGTTAAATGAGATTGGCAGAGACTCACCAATTCTTGTGGAGCTGGCAGATAATGGATTAAACAGTAAGCTACCCACACCAGAAAAAACACACCCTGCCTTTGAAAGCAAAGACACCAGAACATGTACAAAGAACGACAATCAAGTAATCCACTTGTTAAGATGTGTATTCATCTAGAATTCTCATGTGAACAAGCTTCAGGTGCACCACAGAGCTGGGAGGCAGCGTTATAAATATAACTCAAGATACAATGGCCTCCAACAGCTTCTAAATCCTGAAACCACTTCAGCTCAATCTAGCATTAAGCAGTCTACTAGGGAATAGGATATACTCTGAAGAGATCAGTAAGTATAATTTAGAAAAAAAACAAAAAAGAAAGAAAAAGGCAGTTATCTGGGGGGCAAGGGACTTACACTTTAAATTAAAAATAGATATCTCATTCAGAAATATTCCCCACTGGACCCAGAGAAATAAATATATTCTTTATTCACCTTAAACAGTGTTTGGAGAGAATGTTAAAACTCACCCAGTGCCTTCATTTCTTCTTGTTTCAAAAGCTTGTCTCTTTCTTTAGTGGCTTTGCTCCGACACCCTACAGTAGTCTGTTTACCAGCAATGCTGTCTTCCTAGAGAATAAGCCAAGAAACAAGTGGTGAATCACAAACTATAAATTGATGGTCTGCCAAGTTCGTCTAGTAAGAAAAAGAAAAGAAAAATAAAGCCCCTACCATGACTTGCGGGTGTAGCTCAGTGGTAGAGTACCTGCCTAGTACCTCCCAAAGCCCTGGGGGTTCAAATGCCAGCATGGCAAAAAAACCAACAAAACTCACACCAATTATACCTTCCCCCGCCCCCCCAGACAGGGTTTCTCTGTGTAACAGCCCTGACTGTCCTGGAACTCACTCTGTAGACCAGGCTGGCCTCAAACTGAGATCCATCTGCTTCTGCCTCCTGAGTGCTGGGACTAAATGTGTGCATTGCCAGCACCTGACCAATTATATCTTCTTAAAATACTAGAATTAGCCGGGCGGTGGTGGCGCACGCCTTTAATCCCAGCACTTGGGAGGCAGAGGCAGGCGGATCTCTGTGAGTTCGAGATAAATAAATAAATAAAAAAAAATAAAAATAATAAATAAAAAAATAAATAAAAATAAAAAATAAAAAATAAACCACACAGAAATGTTCAGTTTCAGGGGACCTTGGCGATGTGCACACAACTCTTCCTACTACTTTAAACACAGACTTGGTCCCTTCCCTCATGGATAGTTGATCAGGGAAGTCAGATCTTTTTTTTTTTTTTT